GTTCACTTGGGGGAATACAGCAACCAGTGAGGAGGGGTCGGTTTTGCATTTATTGAACAGATGAGGAGACCAAGGCAGAAAGAGGGGTTAGCATCTTGCCCAAGTTCACCGAGCTAGTAAGTGGCAGAGTCAGGGCTTTAACTCAGGCATTTGGCTACAGAGCTTTTATAGACTTTGCTCTCCTGCCTGATGACGCAGGTGGGGAGGAGGGGGCGGCGATGCTGTTCCTTTTCAGAACACAGCATGCCCTGATTTGCGAAGCTTTTGTGCACTTGGCGCTTGGTGTGCCCTTTGGCTCAGGGAGACGCAGAGATCAAGATTTCAATTTTACAGAGGAGGCTAATCACTGGCCCAAAATCACTCCCCAAGTTAGTTGCAGGGTAGGGGCTGGGGCCCCAGGTTTGGCACTCAGGCTCGGCCTCCAGCCCTTCTGATTAACCGGGCACTCTGAGTTTGCAGTCCCCACCCCCCATCCCCGAGGGAAGGGGCTTTGTGTGCACAGGGTGGTCAGAGAGTTCTGGCTTGCTGTGGGACCTCAGTGTCCTTGTCTGTAAAATGAACAGCCTGGATCTGTTGGGCTCTGTGTGTCCTTCCAGCTGAATTCGCTGTCCTTGCTCTGAGAGGTGCTTGGGGACGCGGTGTTCCCCGCTTGCCTTGTTGCCTTCCCCGTGATGGCAACCAAGTGGCCCCATTCCCCTGGCAGGATATTTCCCCCCACCTGCCGGCCTCCTCCCATCTGGCCCGGCTGGAAACCGCAGGAAGCTGGGGGAAGAGGTCCAACCACGCCCAGAGTGTCCCGCTGGCTCAGGAATCTGGGCCCAGAGTGTCCCGCTGGCTCAGGAATCGGGGCCTCCTGCTTGATCTGCCTTGTGAGCTCCTACCCCATTCTGCATCGAAACAGAGCTGCTGGTCATCAGTCTGTCTGCCTGTCTGTCTCCCTCCCAAGGAGAACTGTGAGCCTGAGCACCAAGGTCCTGTGGAAAGACCTTGAGAAACAGTGAGCTCTCTGGTTCTGGAAACGTACAGAGGGGCAGGGGGTGGGTTGAAGGGTCCCAGGCCCCTCCAGCTCCTGGATCTGAGCCCCCAGGGCATGGGAGAGGCCTGGGAGGCTCTGCCCTGTGGGCAGCAGGACCAGAACCTGGGGGCACGAAGCCTGCTCTACTCTGTGTGACCTTTGGGCACAGGCGGGCCGAGGGTGGAGCCCTTCGAGAGCCGGGTGCTGGCTGCGTCATCTCTCCACACAGGTCACCCCTGCCACGCACATTGGGGAGGCCTCCAACGGTGTCACCTCCTCCCACTCAGACCTGTGATGTAGGCAAAGTCCGCTGAGGTTGGCTAGCTGGTTGGCTCAGGAGCTGGCCCGCCCGGAAGCAGCCTTATACCCCCTCCCTCTCACCTTGGTTGAGGTCACCTTGGTCTCACCAAGCCCCTATTCGGTGTGGCCCAGCTCGGTGTGGTGCCTGTGCCCCCTCCTGTCAACTCACGCCACCCCAAAAGCTGACAAGGCAAGGGTATCCTCTCTCCTTGACAGAAGCTGAGGCCCCCAGGGGCATGAGCATGTGAGGGGCAGTTGCAGAGCTGGGCCTGAGGCTCAGGGGCCTTCCCAGTGGCCCGCCCACCCCAGGAGAGTGAAGTCTTCACGTGCAGACAAAACCAAGACGGACAAGGCCCAAGGAGGGCACAGCTGGGGAGACAGGGAGGTGGGGAGGGGGACTGTCGGCCACATGTATGTCCAGAGCCTGAGCCAGGGACATCTGTCCTGTCATAGACCATTCACATGGTTTGCACCTCCCAGATGCACCGTGTTCTCTCTGGGCTTCCCAAACAACTCCCTCCACCTGGAACACTTACTCCCTCCCTCCCTCAGCCTGGCTAACTCTACCCCTTAGTGGCAGAGGACTCAGGACTTCAACAACTGTTTGCTGAGCACCTTCAAGGAGACAGACACTGTCCAAGGTGAGCAGTTCACGGTGAGCAAAGAGAATTGTCCCACCTTCTGGAAGTTTCCCATCCCCAAGGAACCACACAGAGCTGACAGGAAATAGTTGGGATAGACTCGCGGCTGTCACGAGCAGCCCCCAAATCAGAGGCTTCACACGACGAAAGCCTATTTTGAGGTCCTAGCATGGTTGAGATGGGTGACAGGGGGCTCTGCTTCTGTGCCACTGTCATCCCCTAACTTCAGAACACCCTTGGGTCCTCTGCACTGGGCAGGCCTGTGAGCGAAGAGGGAAGCATCGAGGGCTGGGCGGGGAGGCTTAGCTACTGGTTCTGGAGGGGCCTGCGCGCCGTGTGTGTTCAAGCCAGAGCTTGGCCACAAAGCCACACCACAGTGCAAGCAAGTCTGGGAGCTGTCACCTAACCGGCATGTTGGGTTTCAACCCTGGCCAGTCTCTGCCAGGCAGAATCACACAAACAGTGTCTTAGTTTCTTGGGGCTCCTGTAACTATGCCCCAAATTCTGTGGCTTAAGCAATAAGAATGTATTATCTCGTGGGGCTGGAGGCTTCAGGGGACAATCTTTCCTGACTCTGCTGGCGGCCACTGGTCGCTGCGGGCAATGCTAGCCTTCCTGGGCTTGTGGTCACTTCACTGCACTCCACGCCTCCCCCGACTTCACATGGCCTCGTCCTCTGCGTCTTTTCCTTTGTGCGTCTCTCTAAGGAAGCTTCTTGTTGGAGTTGGGCCCCTCCCACCCCAAGAATCCAAGATGACCTCCTCATCCCAAGATCCTTAATTTTTTAAAGATTTTATTTATTTATTTGAGACAGAGAGAGCATGAGCAGAGGTCATGAGAGGGAGGGGGAGAGGGAGAAGCAGGCTTCTTGCTGAGCAAGGAGACCCATGTGGGACTCGCTCCCAGGATCCCAGGATCATGACCTGAACCCAAGGCAGATGCTTAACTGACTGAACCACCCAGGCGCCCCATTCCTTCATTGAATTGTATCTGTAAAGATCTTTTTTCCATAGCAAGCAAAAGTCACAGGTTCTGGGGATTAGAATATAGACGGATCTATTTTGGGGCCACTTTTGGGGCAAGATCATGTGAACCCCTTCCCATGGCCGCTGGCCTCCAAGAGGCCAGAAACAGAAGCAGCAAGGCCTCTTAAGGCCCGAGCTCAGAAGTCCCAGATCATTATTTCTATCGCATTCAGTTAGTCTGAGCAGGGCAGGGCCCACCAGATTCAAGGGGAAGGAAAATAGAATTCCTCCCCGGATGGGAAGCGTGCCTCACTCACTCAACAACTTATTGGGTACCTAGTATGGGCCAGGCTCTGAGCCAGGCACTGGGGTCCTAGGGGTGAGCAGGCCAGGCCCCCACAGAACCTTCTGTTTTGTGGATGATGGAAGCTCATAACTGGACAAACCGGTCACAGAGCATGACAAATAGAGCAGCAAGGATTCGGGCTAGAAAATCCCTGGGGACACAGAGGCCAGGATGAGCCTAGAGGGCAGACATCTGGAGGGTGACAAGGACACCTCCCCATTTCTGGGCCTCAGTTTCCTCCTCTGGATGAGGGTTTGCCACAGCCATGGACTCAAACTATTCTTCCTGGAGTCCTGGGGCTGCCCAGAGGCACCCAACAGGCTACTGCAGAGGGTGGCAGAGCAGTGGGCTTCTAAAGTTTGTGACTCATTGGTCTGGAAGCTTCTGATCAGCTCCCAGATTCCAGCTTCCAAGCCGGGCACCCCAGTCTCTGATCCCAGTGGCTGTCTAGAACAAGATTTTCCTAGGAGCCCTCTTGTTCCTCAGTGGCCCTGCCGGGGTTCTGGACTCTGTGGAAACAGGGAACCTCCCTTTCTATCTGGTTGGACTCTCTTCCCACCATCCCAGGACAGACCTCGCCCTGGGACACCCCTCACCTTTGACCTTGGGTCTGCTTCAGCCAAGGGACCCCACAAGAAGTGCCAGTGTCTCTCAAAGAGCTCAGACCCTTTGGGGTAAGACCCTCCCTTCGGTGTAGCCTTGGATGAGCCCCTCGCTCTTTCTGGGCCTCGGAGGGAGCCCAGCCTCATGACGGTGGGCACAAAGGCAAAGCACGCTCCCCGAAGCTGGCGGGAGGGGTGGCAAATCCTCTGGGGAGTGAGGTCAAGAGAAGTGGCAGGAAAGACCCAGCCTCCTGGGGACCCATGGGGGACCCATCCCTGGTGCCCCTGGTCCACCATTCTGGCAAATTCTGAGCCAAGCCTTTCTCCCGTCAGGCAAATTAATCACTAGGCACGTAGTTTACTTTAGCTTGGCAATCTTTATTCCTGGGTTCAGCCCCAAGGGTGGGAACTGGGTGTGGGTGGGGCCAGGGGTGCCAAAAACAATAATTCCTTCCTTGCTCTGGGCCTCAGTTTCCATTTCTGTCACACAAGGAGGGAAGGCATCCCCTGCTTCCTTCACTGGGACACTGTGAGGTTTCAAGTGACCACATACAGACCCGGGCCTTTCAGCCACACAGCTCCAGTACTGACAAGTGCCCTGACTCAGTCCTTGCCCCTGGAGGGCTCACTGTCAGGGAGGGAGACCCGTCTTGTCCACCACTAGCTGCTGGCAGGTGGGGCGTGGGGAGTGTGGGGGGACAAGCAATGCCCAAGAGCCTCTCAGCCATGGGTCTGGCTTCACTGAGCTCTGTCTTGGAAGTTCATGACTGGGCTTGTGTGGGGCGAGGGGTGTCCACACCCCTACTTCTAGGCAGGTAAGGCCCTCATACCTGTCACTATCCAGGGATGCCCCCTTGCCCAGAGAGCAGGGTCCACCAGGAAACAGAGCTGAGCCCCCTTCTTCATAGTCCTTTTGGGGTCTTCCTTGCAGGCTGGCCTTGGAGTGGAGGGCCAGGGCCAAGGGGCAATCACAGGACCCTTGGGTGAGCTGATGGCAGAGGCCTTGGCGCACCGTGGAAGGAAGGCACGACTGGTCCACTCAGAGGGGTCCAGAGGGCCACGAAGTGGTGGGTCAGCAGGCATGGCCATGCCGTGTGGGTGCCCCAGGGGCCTGCACCGCTTCGGACACCCTTAGCTGGTGGTGCCCTGAGGGGGCTGTGGGGAGGCTTGCCGGCTCAGGGTCACACCAGGGAAGCTGGGGACAAAGCTCTTCCATCTTCTCCTCACCTGCTGGAAGACAGAGGAGGGGGGAGATCAGGGCCCGGTCTCACAGCTGTGCGGTGGGCTTCAGTGTTGTTCCACCTACTGCCACGAGGTGGTGGTAGACCGCAGACACAAGAGCACTGCTGTGGGGGGGGGGGGCACGTCGTCCAGAATAAGGAGGGAGGGCCAGGATCCCGCAGCTCCCACCAAGGGGGTCAGGATGCCCCTTTTCCTGGGGCAGAGGAACACAAGATGTAACCCTGGGGAAGTTGTATTGGCTGATCTCCTTGCCTCCAGCGAAATCCACCCATGTAACCACTGCCAGATAGATCATTTTAGAACAGCTCTGACCCTATCACCAGCGGGCTCTAAAACCTTCCATAACTCCCCAGTGCCTAGGGGATAAATCCCAAATGCCTTTAGGGCCCTCTGAAATGTGGTGACTGGATACCTCTCTTTCCAGCCTTATCTCCAGACAGTTCTGCTGTCTTCTTGGTCCTTGGTCCCCCATGTTTCTGCTTCTGAGCCTTTGCTACCCTGGGTCCCTCTCTGTAGAGTCCCCACCGTTCCCCTGCAGTGCTCCTCTGTCCGTCAACCCACAGCCAAACCTGCTGATACTGCTTCCGCCACTGCTGCCTTTTTCCTTGCTGGGCCTGGATGAGCCGCTTGTGTCCTCCAGGCCCCCTGGCAGCCACTCCTGACCTGGCGTATCCAGCCTTTCTGAGCCTTCGATGGAGGGCCTGGACTTCTCATGCCCCTGCGTGAGGATCAGTGCCCAGCGCAGTCGGCTCTCTCGAGGCTTCCCCCAGGGCTCCTGGAGTTTGCCGTAGGTGGGCCGTGGTCCTCTCAAGGACTGGCTGCGTGGGCCCGACCCCATGGTTCTGGAGGCTGCGAGCACTGGATAGCTGCAGGCCCCTTGGCTAGCCAGTGGCTTCTGAGATGGCCTGGAGTCTCTACCCTTGTGATGGGAACTTTATTTGGGGGCAAAGGTTGGTACTGCTGAGGTGGCCATCATAAACCAAAGGGTGGGCCACAGGGTACAAGCATCCCTGAGTCAGCACCCCCACTGCCTCTCTCTACCCGCGGGAAAGTCATCTAAGAAAGACAAAGACCTGGTGAGCAGACCTGGGGCCAAGGCCAAAAAGAAATCGTACAAAACTATGGTTCTAGGCATGGTCAATGACCTGGTCTTGTGCGACAAAGGAACATAAGACAAATTCTCTAAGTTCTCAACTCTAAGCTTAGAGCCCCAGCTGTTGTGTCTGAGAGAAGATTCGAGGCCCCCTGGCGCGGGGCAGCCCTTCAGGATCTCCTCAGTAAAAGGACTTATTAACCTGGTTTCAAAGCACAGAGCTCGAGTCATCGATGCCGGTAACACTGAGGGCAGAGATGCCCCTCCTGCTGGCGGGGACACGTGAACAGATCCCACCAAGGGGGAACCCTGAAAAAGAAAACGTTATTAAATTAAAAAAGGAAATAGGGAACGGGACAGTCCTGGTCTAGAAGAGTCAAACTCACAGAAACACAAGGTGGCGCGGGGGCTGCCAGGGTCTGGTTGTTTCGCGGTTGTCGGGCTTCAGACCCGCAAGAAGAAAACATTCCAGGGATTGAGGGAATGGCACCGTGAACACAGGTAACGCTCCTGAATTATACAAAAAAATGGCTACATGGTAAAATGTATGTTTCTGGATATTTTACGGCGGCTGGACATTACTCATTAGCCGAGGCGAATCCCTTCCCCTTCTCCGTTATCTTATCAGCTGCAAAATGGGTCGCTGTGAAAATCCGATGAAATCGTGTATGTGGAAGAGCTAGACCACCAGCAGCGGCTCTTTTAGCCTCATGATAGCCCTGTGAGGTGGGCACTGTCATCCCCATTTTGTAGATCGGGAAACAGAGGCTCGGAGATGACGCACCTGCGGGAAGCACGCCCAGTAAGAGGCTGAGCTGGGACTCGCTCCTTGGTCAGAACCCATGCGGCGCCCATTCTGGTCCCCCTGCTCTGGTGTTGGTGGCCGAGGTAGGACCCAGAGCCGGGGGTCCTCCTCTGTGTTTGGGCTGCTGCCCAGGGCCCCCTGTCTGGGGTGAGGGAAGCGCTGGCTGCAGCTCTAGGCTCATCCCTGACCTCTCCTGAGGGCTGGCCTGGCTCTCTTTCCTCTGTCTCTCGGGGTTGCTAGGCCTTCCTGGGGTGAAGGGTCTTGTCATGTCCTCCAGGCTCGTCTCTCAGCCAGAGGAGCTCAGGCAGGGCCACAGTGAAGAGGAGCATGGAGAAGAAGGTCCCTCTTTTTTTTGTTTTTAATATTTTTTTAAGATTTTACTTATTAATTTGACAGACAGAGATCACAAATAGGCAGAGAGGCAGGCAGAGAGATGGGGGAAGCAGGCTCCCCGCTGAGCAGAGAGCCCGATGCGGGGCTCGATCCCAGGACCCTGGGATCATGACCTGAGCCGAAGGCAGAGGCTTTAACCCACTGAGCCACCCAGGGGCCCCAAGAAGGGGCCTCTTTACTCCAGCCCTGAGCAACCCTCTAATGTCCAACCCAGAGGCCAGCCCTGGTGCTGGATGAAAGGCAGCAAAGCCATTGTTTAACGATCAGGACCCTCACCCCCCACGAGGTGGGCTCAGACAACCCCTCCCCCCAACCCTCCACTTTCACTGAAGCCTGGTCCAGGAAGAGTTCGCTGACTCAGACTTCTGGGACATGCTGGGGTGAATCTCACTCACTCTTGTGAAGCAGGCAGCTGCTCGATATCCTCCTGCCAAGTGTGTCATCTTACAACTTCCCAAGCCCATGGACAAAATGTGTGCTCCCTTCCCTCCCTGCCTTCATGTCAGCTGGGAAGCACTTGCCTTTTCCAGACGCTGCTGTGCTCGGGGAGAACCACCCTGGGAGCCCACTGTCCCCTCTGCATGGCTGAGGGAGGCAGCCCCCCTCCTGCTCCCCCACAAACACAGTTTAAACATAGCAATTGTTGCAGGATTTTTCTTTCTCCGCTGGTGCCCACGGTTCTTGGCTATGCCACTTGGAAGAACGAAGCGGTAGACCGGACAGAGGGGCGGGCAGAGATGCGAGGTTAACGGAGTGATTTACTGAGCGATCACAAAAGTGATAGCACAAAGCATCCAAGGAGGAAAGAGACCTGGAGGGGTTGTCATGGGAGTTTCTGAGTCTAGGGGATTTTACTGGCTTGTGGGTGGGCTGTCTTAATCTGATTAAGCCCTGGGCCGGTCAGCCAATCAGATTTTTGTCCCCTATCTATCATAGGGGAAGGATGGAGGGCTCCTTCCAGGGCGTGTAAAATCCTTTTAAGCATGGTTTCCTCTTGAGGGCAGGAGGCGCTGGTCCCTGTCTGCCTGCCCGCCTCCCAACTACCCTTCGTCACAGTCACACACGCAGGCCTTCCCCTCCCTCCACTGGGTGTCCCTTGAAGACTTTCCATCTCTGTGTTCCCAGGACCCGACGTAGGACGTATTTTGTCTTAAATAATGGAGACTCTTCGGGGCGCCGGGGTGGCTCAGTTGGTTAAGCAACTGCCTTCAGCTCAGGTCATGATCCTGGAGTCCCGGGATCAAGTCCCACATCGGGCTCCCAGCTCTGTGGAGAGTCTGCTTCTCCCTCTGACCTTCTCCCCCTCTCATGCTCGCGCTCTCTCTCTTTCAAATAAATAAAATCTTTAAAAAAAAATATATTGGAGACTCTTCATTGTTGCTGCCTAAAAAAATTACCCCAAAACTTAGTGGCTTAAGGCAACATTCATGTAGCACCTCACAGTTTCTGTGGGACAGGAGTCCAGGCCTGGCCAAGCGGGGGGCCTCTGGCTCAAGGTCCTTCACAGGCTCCAGTCAGGGGCCTGCCTCCATGTCAAGCTTCAGCTGCGGGGAATCTGCCTCCCCGGTCACTCGGATGGTTGCTGGCAGGACTCTGCTCTTTGCAGGTGGAGGGCCCGAGGGCCTGAGGGCCTGAGTTCGTCGCTGGTTGCTGGCTGTTGCCACGTGGATCTCTCCCAAGGGCGGCTCACAGCATCGTGGCTGCCAACTTCAGCTGGAACCAGTCCGTGGGAGGGCAAGAGATGGGGGCGCCAAAGCTAGAGTCTTTGGGGAGCTCAGTCTCAGAAGTGACCTCCCATCATTTCTGCCCTGTTCTGTTCGTTCCTGGGGGAGAGTCACCAGGTCCCGTCCCCTCTCCAGGAAGGGATCCCCACAGAGCTTGAACACCAGGAGGCGGGATCGCTGGGGGACATCATGGAGCTGCTTACCCACAGACTGGGATTTTATTATTTTTTAAAAATGTATTATTTTTTTTTAATTTTTATTTACTTGAGATGGAGTGTGTGTGTGTGTTTGCGCGTGCACACCCAAGCAAGCACGAGCAGGAGGGAGGCGCAGAGGGAGAGAAAGCCCCAAGCCAACTCCCCGCTGATCACGGAGCCAGAAGGGACTCCATCCCAAGACTGTGAGATTGTGATCCAAGCTGAAATCAAGAGTCAGATGCTTCAACAACGGAGCCACCCAGGTGCCCCAGGTCTGTGTTTTAAACCATCATGCTGCCTGAGTTTAGAGCCTGGCACTTCTGTGTGATAGCTCTGTATTTGAATGAGTGGCTTAACCTCATGTGCCTGTAATTTATCAGCTACAAAGTGGGGAAAATACCTTATTTCACCCAACCTCAGGTGGTATGAAAGGTAGCATTAATTCATACATCATTAAGAAAGAATACTCAGGGCGCCTGGGTGGCTCAGTTGGTTAAGCATCTGCCTTAGGCTCAGGTCCCGACCCCCTTGCTCTCCAGCTTGTGCTCTCTCTCCCTCTCTCACAAATAAATAAGTAAAATCTTAAAAAAAAAAAAAAAAAAAAAGAGTACTCACTGCCCATTCATTGGAAGACGCAGTTCATTTCAGAGAGGTTAAAATGGAAGGTGGGGGATGGTGTGCTGTGAAATTAATGAAACACATTGTATCTCTTTCCTAAAGTGGGTTCTGGGACTTGATATACCCGAAGGCTACAGATGGGGGCCACCCACCAGCTATTCTTTCTTATTAGTGAGCCAATGAAATTAATCCAGATCTACACAATTCAAGTGAGACTTTTTAAAAATTTTTTATGATACCTAGGAGTAAGGCCCCCCAAACGAGGGATTCTCATACATATAAAAACAGACACCAAGTGCTGATAGTGCAGGAAAGGAGGATGGAGACCATTTGGTTTGGGGATAGGGAGAATCTGGGCAGGCTGCCTGCAGGAGGTGGTGTTGGAGCTTAGCCTTGAGAGCAGGATGGGTTGGTGCAGTAGAGATGGGGGCTGAGAGCCTATGGGCGACCAGAGCCTGGGAACACACAGGGTTACCCCCAGGGTGGGAGAAGAATCTGGAAAAGCAGATGGAGCCCAGTCTCTAGGGAGGCCTGGAGATGGAGATGGAGTGTGTCTTCTATTGCAGGAGCCTTACGTCTGTGCTTACATTTCATCTTCACACTACTCTGGAGCTTAGCCCCATTTTTCAGATGAAATAACGGAAGCCCAGAGTGGTGAAGCAACTTGCCCAAGGACACACAGTCAGTAGTGGATCTTACATTCATCCTGGCGGTGTCAGGCCCACAAACAGAGGCCTTAGCAAATGTGTGACCACCCTTTGGGGATGGTCTTCACACACCCTACGGGATGATCAGACAGAACTATGACCCAAATGGTTAATGCCCCTAGAATCTTCCTTAAAAATACGATGCCTGCCAGAAGGGTGCCGAGAGACTGTGCAGATACACATATTTAATTTAAAATTGTGTATGTTTCAACTGCTAATTCATCTCTTTGCCTGAGCAACTCTTATAATACAGTACGTGTTGGGGGAACTAGTTCTTCTGCTTCAGAATAATGGCACAGAA